TTGATAGAAGTTCTTCTAATTGTTCATTTGTCCCGTTCCACGAGCCTATGTAAATTAGTTCTTGGCGCGGTAAAGTCATGTTCGCTGCAGAAGAAGGGACGTGGCAGTGAGGTTTAGTTTGGCACGCCGCCAGTCTTTTCTCTAACAACTGAAGCGGGAAGTGACAAAAACTAGTGGAAATGAGTGGGCATATACGAACAATATGATACAGTCATGTCGCTTGCCGATAGAAAAATGAAGAAGACAGGTTTGGCGTCGCGCAAACCTGATGATGGGGCGTGTCAAGGGGATCCCTCGACACGCCCCATCATCCACAGCGAACACGACTGTATGATTCCTGCATCTGATTGAACGTATTTACCCCTCCTCCCACATCTGCTTAACAACAAAACTTTGGGAGAATGTGGTGAGCTGATAGAAAGTTTGTGAGATTTTACGACCATTTTACCCATGCCGATGCTTATACTCTGTTGTCAGCCCCCACTCCCTTACTTCCTGAAAAGCTATAAGCCCCTTAGCTCAATCTTCGCTGCTAACTATTTTTGACATTTCCCCTTTGAATAATGCCCTTTTGGGCGTTTTCCCCCAGGGATTTAAATTCATGGACGCCTTTGTTTCAACGTCCTATATGACTGATGATGCTATGCATTTATCAGAACAGGGCGAGTATGATTAATATGAACACAACCGGCAAGGCAAAATACCTGAGCTGCTGCCAACTGAGCGGCTTTCTCTCCGGCGAACAGTAACAGGGTACGGATGTCAGCTCGCTGATCATGATCTCGTTTATCAGCACTCGCATCAACGGGACCATTTTTCAGTAGATGATCGAGTCGATCCAGTACCACATCTTTTTGCTGTCGAACATGTCGAAAGTCCAGTTCTGAAAAATATGAAAATGTTAGACTCGGTCGATCGTTAAGGAGAAAGCAGCGCAGCGCAGCCGCGCGCGTCATGTCATGTAGCTGTTGCAATTGTTTTTAGTGTATAAGCCGCACCCGTGTATGAGGCGCTTCTTTTGCATCGAACTGCGTAAAGTTTTTTCTCGCTTTCCTATTGCAGGGTCTTTGTTTGTCCTTATCTACACTCCATATCGCGCACGTGAGAGGGTGTGGCTACGTAGTTCATTCGGACATGGCATACTATGCGCTTTTTGCATGCTCTTTCCCTTTTTAGCATATGTAGTGCTGGGCAAAGACACTGATTACCGTTGTCCTGGTAAAGAAAATAATCCCAACCAGAAGCCGAACCACCGCCAGCATCTCGAAAGTAAAGTACGCATGCGCACCGCCTTCTCCATCCTACAGGATACGCAATGTCATTGAATAGATCTGTATTGGTCAAAAAGTGCTAAGAAAGACCAGTTTAAGATGAAAAAGGCCCTGTTCGCCGAGAGCGATTAAACATTTTTGCGCAAAAGCGAGCCGTTCCTCCTACCCTGTGTTTCGAAGCTCGTGCAATTCCGTCCCACCTGGCCACGCCCCCTTTTTTAACGCGATTAAGGCATCAACGATTTCCACAATCTATAACTCCACGATATTCGTTCTGCAATATATTCGCAAACATTACCATACACATTGTTGTCCGGATTTCTTGCACGGCGACCACAAATAATTCTACCCACGCCCCGCCCACTCCCCTCCTACCCCGACTGATCCGAACACTGAAGGATCTATAGAATTCAGAGTTTCCAAAAAGCTTCATCTCAAACGTTGCTATTAGGTCGTTGCAAAAGAAATGCAGGATTTCGTTTTTTTGTATTTAATACTTATTTTATTCCAATAAAATGTAAGTGTTATATATCATTCGAAAGCTTATCTAATGCTCTTTCTAAATGATACTTCAAGATTGGTTGTAATTCTTTTTAGAGGCCACAAAATCGTTGAAGGCGTTTTTGACATCGTCTTGGTTTTTGAAGCCTTTCTCTCTAAGATAGTTGTCCAGATGCTTGAAAAAGTGGTGATCGGTGGCGACACGTCTGTGTGTGTATGAGGCGCATGAGGTGTTTCATAGCCCAATCCGTTTATTTTCTGGAGGGTAAATTGTGCAAAGTGTGGTCGGGCATTGTCGTGGAGAAGAGTCCGGAATCGTGGAGTCCCTTCATATTGACCAACCTTGGGCACATGCGTTAAGGCTTCTGATGCATTTCGTCGATTTGTTGACAGTACTTCTCTGCCGTAATTGTTTCACCAGGATTCAGGAAGCTGTGATGGATGAGACCGGCGGCAGACCACCAAACATGAAGTTCATCTTCAAGGCTGGTGTTGCCACAGCGAAACTTCTCTGGAACCGCACAACGTTGGACCGTAGATTCGTTGATACTTCCTTGACCCCAAACTTCGTTAATGTTTCGAGCTGTCTCGGCAGCGTTTTGGCCTAGCTTGAACTCATAGAAGGACTAAATACAAGTGCGAAATTCACGTTTCGACATCTGCAATAAAATGTCAATAAAAATTATAATGAAATGAATTACAACCAATCTTGGAGTATCATTTAGAAAGAGCATGAGATGAGCTTCCGAATAGTGTATAACACTTCAATTAAAGTAACAATATTATTGGGAGATAAAATATAGTAATGAAAATAGCAAGCACCGCAAAATTCCTGCAATTTCTTTTGCAACGACCTAATATAGCTTTTCATATAGTCTATGCGCTCAGTGAGCGTTAGTACGTGATTTGCCGCCCCGCCTGGAGTCTGATTTTTGCCCCATAAGTTATACATTGTCTGGGATAACTTTTCTGGAGCGCCGGGATCGAGGCGGCAAAAAGCAGTTATCCGTAAATAAAAGACCTACCTCATGTCGATAACTTTTCGCACGTTGTGCGCGGCCACACTGCATTGAAACCAAAAACACAATGCTAGGAACATGGCTCTTTTCCTTTTTAATCTTTGTGCTCCGTTTACAAACTGGCTACCCTCTTTCTGTCTGAAAAAAATGTCAACAGATGAAATAAGGGATAAAATAAATCTGAGCACATCGGTGTTCAGTGCATATGCCAACTCCTCCAGGAACAGTTTCTGATACGACAGAAGCGCGAACTGCAGAAGCCACTAAGGAAAAATAGTGTTCTTTCTGTCTCAAGGTGTCCATTCATATAATAACGCTCTTTTTTGCGATATTTCCCGACTTTTTCATAGAAGTAAATTCAGTGCGAAATTGATATAAATGCCAGAAATCGGCGTAAGTTCTAGGAGAATCACTTGCCAGACAATGCATTGCAATTAGGAGCGCTATTCGGCTCAAGGAGACACTTTCGCTCCTTTCTTCTGCTAGTCCCCTCAAATTTGACCCTAGTCAAGCCTGAAGCTACTGCATAGCTACAGGAAATCACAAGTCACCACAGGAGGCGGAAGTGATTAATACGAATCAGCAAAATGCCCCCACCAAGCCCACCAGCGCCCATACTCACACATTTTGCGCTTTTGAAAAAGAAATCGAAACCTCGACAAGCAAAACCACCTCGGCCAGAGAGTAGTGTATGTTGAGTTTTGCCATTATACTGGATATCACTTCGATAGCGGCTTTCTCTCGGTCTTTCACCTCTTCTTGCAGACCATCACGAGAGGCTTCGAGTTCGCGAAGCTGTAAATGTAAGCTATAGGGAAAATCTCGATGTGTAAGCTCATTATGACGGGAATCAATGAACCTTTCGTAGGAGAGCCTTATCATGAAGAAGGTACAAGCAGCACCTTTGCATGAACAAATGTAACATACACAAGCACCCCAAGCAGCGCAACATCTCATCGCAATCATTTGATGCTTTCGCGTTCGTCGCATAGCTTCGCCACTTGTTTTTGTGTACGGTTATGTAGGCTGTGGGGATGGAGCAGTTGTTGGTGAGAATGATGAAGAGGCATTTTGGGGAAAAACTAACTGCGGTTAGGCTCTGGTCTCACTAACAGAACTCCTACATTGTGCAGCAATCAAGCACCTCGACCTCTAGCGGGGTCAATTTGGCCGATGGAAGGAGAAAGGGGTTAGTTTGCTTTTCAGGAAAAACTTTCAACCGTTGAATTATTTAGTTACCTTGGTTTTTAAGAGGAAACTTAAGGAAGTTGACATACCGACTATTGTGGGCATTCAAGATTTTTGAAAGTTTAGGGTCTGGAGGGTCTCCGCTTGTGAGTATTTGTGTTGCGAATGTTCTCGTTACTTTTCTTTGTATTGTTTTGTTTTGTAACTTATCTGGTTTCGCTCATAATGTAGCGCACCCGTGCGTGCATGATAAAATGAATAATACAATAATAATATTATTTAATATAAGTGCGCTGTATACCCCTCCCACCCTCTGCCCTCAACGCCAGTTTTTTTCTGGGAAAGAAAAGGAGGAATCATTGGAAACAACTCCGGAAATTTCCGATGCTGGAAGATGGTGAGAATGGGGAAGAGGGTCATGGCAGAAGAAGAAGTTGTGGGGGAGGGTCTAGTATTTATTGGCAAAGTTAGGGCAGCACCTGCCCTGGCAGCAATTTGATTCGGCACAGGAGCCCCAAAGCGCCATCATTTGAATGATGCAAGCGGACGATATCGAGGGGTGTGGAGCCAGGTAATTCGTTTTACGCAGGGTCCGCAGCGGCGTCGCGGGCGCGCCGCAACTGAAAAAGAGAACCTATTTGGCAGTGAAACGCAGAGGTGGCTGAGATGTGTCGTATTCAACCAATTAGACTACTAGCTGTTACTGCCTGATTGAAAGTTAGCTGAATTGAGGTTCTGCGATAAGCTGAAGGGCGGAGAATCATAACTATTACCGCTGCCTGGCTCATTAGCATACCACTCTTCTTACGGTATTAAGAGGTTACTAGTGCGCACCCAGTAATTGCGAAATGTGCCCTCTGAGGGCGAAAGGATGGCGATGGGGAGCACACCATGAGAGGAGATGTGTGATAGGAGGGAGGGGAGGGTTGAGGAATTCTGAAAAACAATCAAATAATATACTGAAAATGAATGAAATTAGAATAATTAAAATGGAGCCGCTTACCTTTTCGTCGGTACTGCCTTGTAACTCGCTGAAAAGGTCATTGGACGGTTGAACTGGCACTGGCTCCTGAAACGCTATGGAGGAATTCACTGGAAGGAAAAGCAAGGTTAATATAAATAATCTCTCCAGGAATATCCGAAAGGTTCCGCAAGATGTATTCGGTGTGGCCGGAGCACGCAAAGCCACTGTTTGGGCGCAACCGATTGAAAACGTCCGAAATGGACTTTGCACATTTTCACCGCCACCGGAAACTTGACAAGCAGCGACATCGTTCGTGGGACTACGAAACCGCTCCGCAACTGCGCGCGCCACATCCTTGCTCCACTCAGTGTGTGTAAGGAATGGATTGCGGGCTAAGATCGCCAGCGAAAAACTGTAAATGAACGAAGTCTTAAGTAAGTCACTTCTTCCCAAACTTTCCAACCCATTAACCATTCCGGTCAAGCTGCTGAGGTGTTCAGCATTTTACGCATCCAACTCCTTCTTCATTGCCAGTCGTTGCTCGCGTTCTTGCTGAGCAGCAAGAAGAGCTTCTTCTACCTGAAAAAAGCAGAACATAAATCGCAACATGCAACAAACATCGTCGTGACATACACTGTAGGTCAGTGATTTTTACCTCACTATGGAAGCGCGCGGATGAAATAACGATTTTCAAATAAAGGATGGTATAGCCAATGACTACCAAAATTAGTTTCCCAGGTAGATACACTAAGCTCGAACCTGTTTCTGGCGCAAGCGAATAATTTTGAGTAATTGGCTCTCTTCGATTGCCCGCATTCACATGTAATCTCATACCGCTATCTGGTATCAGTCAATTTTACAGCGGATTCAAATTCCAACCGGGACGCGCGTAGATTCGCTACCTGAAAATAGTCGTTGTACGTAAAGCCAAATAACAAACGACCTGCAAACAGCGAAAATAGAATGACAAGAGAGACTCGGCAGTTTATGTGATAAACCGTAATATGCCGCGTTAGTGGGCGTGACGAGCAACACCGCACCCGGGTGGACGAGTTTTCCCGCACAATCTTCTGAGCTTTCGGATCGTAAAAGGCGGGAAAAGTCGGTATTGTCCGGGTAGTCTCCCTAAGCATGGCTTCATGCGACCTTCCCTGGCACTTCGTTGACAGCTTAGTAAATCGCAGGGTACGGCGCGCAGACGATTACGTGGAAAATACAATTCCTTGCTCGCTTCACCTGAACTAACTGCTGGGATGTTACGGTGAGAAAGAGCGAGAAAAATGAGAAAAAGTCAGCACTTTACTGTCTCTGTATGCTATATTTTCCTCCTCGAGTTCGGTATATTCACCCATTAATCTCTGCTCTCGCTCCTTCGTTTCCTTCAATTCAGCCTGAAAGTAAGATAGAAATCATAGAATTCTCAGTTACTCCACTTGATATGGGTACCCTACGCACTTCACCCGCGTTAGATAGTCCACTGACGCGAGCGGTCGCCAAGCGGCTCCATACTAGTTCCTTAAGGGTGATGTATTTCACAGAATATGTCGCCATCATCACTGTTACCTCAGTATATAGTCATCGGATTTTATCTCAATACCGACAATATTTCTCAACGCAACGTTACCATGCACCGCTGCGCAACCCCCGCTGCGCTGACCTTTCCAGATACTTATGTCTGAACGAGACGGCGAAAACAAAAACAAACTAGGCAGAACAATTATCCACACTGGACTTTCGAACAATAGCATAATGGAACATCACACGCCAAACAATGTCGGAAAACATCCCCAACAGGAAGAACGAAAAAAAAAGAAACCTCTATCGTATTCTTTCAGCTTAGTTTCTACCGTACTCAGTAAGTTACCTTCAATCGTCTCCTCTCCTCTTCCAATGCGGCTCCGGTATCTGCAGCTGAGCTGTGGGCAACTTTCAACCGTTCCAACTCACTCTGACATCTGGCGAGTTCCTAAATAGCAACTTCGAAAGTTACAGAAGAGGCGAAGCTACCGTAGTGGAAAGAGAGGCCGCTACCGTACCTGCTCAGTGTTCCGTAGAGTTGTTTCCAAGACTGTGATTCGATCAGTGAGGCGGCTCTCCTTAGCCGAGCTTTCTTCAATTAGCGTCATCTCGTTCTCGAGTTCACTTCGATGTGCCGCTTTATGCTGAGAGCGGAACTCCGCCAGCATCTGAAACAAACGAAGTCAGAACTCAGCTCCTCACATAACGGCCCTTCTAACCATAACCATAAGTGAAATTCTACTGAGGCTACTCCCCTCCCCCTCTCCCCCCCCCACTGAAAAGAACAGCAATAGCTGACATTTTCACGTTTCTCCAAGTATCAACAAACAAATTCACGTATGAATAAAAAATAACTTAAATAAGTAAATAAGTGACCGATAGATAGCGTGAAAATGATAGTGGCGAAAGCACAGTTTGCCTTCGTGGGGGCATTTTGCTTTCCATCGATCATGCCGATGGTTCTTATGAAGACCTGTGAACTCTTGCAAAGCTGTGCAGCAGCACGAGTTTTGCTTGCACTTAACTAGGTTCCAGCAAGGTCTTCGACGTTGACAGCAACTAATAAAAGAAGATAGCAAATCGAAAAATGCTCCTCCCATCGCGAACAGAGCTGTGGCGAGTACTGACAAAAAGGATTGAAAAGTTCGAAGGCGTTGACAATGGGTCGACTTAGCGCTGGTATGGAAGCCCAGGAGATAGAAGACTTGAGCGCTTATCAGAACTTGCGTTTTGACTTGACCGAACTATTTCTGAACAAGTGAACGGGTTTAATGTGTTCTTCCAGACTCTGAGCCTCCGCTTTGGCGCAGTTCGCAGTTCGGGGGGCATTTTCACTTCCCTTGGTTCACTAGTTCCCGATTTACAAGTCTTACTCTGGTGAAACCTGTGAACTGTAAAGCAGCATCATGATAAAACCTGCCAACTCGAGAAGAGGTTGTCGAGATGGGTCGACACGTCGACGGGAAGTGCAAAATACCCCACCCCCGTCGTCGAACTGCCCCCCCCCCTGTGTTTGTTCGCATTAGTCAAGGGTGAAGCCAACTGTCAGAAAGAGTAAGTAGATCTACGATGGGCCAGCGTCACGTGCGCGACATACGCACCGGTACTCAACTGAATTGAAAAGGAATAAGACAGAAAAGACGACCATCTAGATAGTCGCTAGCTGGCAAGCACCGCCGCACCGAGGATTTATAATACCACCTCAGACCTCCGAGAAAGACAATTAGTGGTCGGAACGTCAAACTCTCATTTAACAACCCCATTAGAACCCCATCAGCAAATGTCATGAAAGTGGTTTATGTGAGCTTAAATACCACCTATATGCGCCTCAGGACAGGAGGGTAAAGGTGAGCGAGGAATATCACACTGACATGCCGGCTTGTGGTGATGAAGAAACAAAGGATGCCGCTACAATGCGCACCGTTCACAGGAAAATCCTCACTGAATCCTACCTAATTGAAGAGCTTTGAGAAAGGGCTTTGTTGATAGTTGCTTTTTTTGAATTTTTCTCGATTTACGCGTGCTACGACCACTCCCCGTATTCGCCTGGGGGCGAATTTTGAAAGTTCGGGAAGGTGACTGGTTAGTTGTGGTGGGTCGTACCAGACCAAGAAATATGAAGGGGGGGGGGTGTTTAGCACAGACTTGACCTGACGACAGGGAGTGCCTTGTTCAGGACTGATTGATTGATTGTATGCTGTCGCATGTTTGTACAAACAAAACTCTGTTTCACGGTTAAAAAAGGTTTAACTAGTATACGAGACTCGGCCGCTTCCCTCAAAGCTGTACTCAGCTGATCACTGGCTCGTCGGAGAAGGAACAGAAACGTTCAGAAAAGCCACTTGCTTCGGCTCACAACAAAAGCGACTACTGTTCCTAAGATGGCAAGAATAGCGACCCGACCAAGAGAGATCGAGCTCTTTACGGCGCACTCGGGGATTTCTTGCCGAACTGCGCAAGAAATGAACTTGATCGGGTTCTTTTCGGGAGGGGGGGGGGGGCATTTCGCACCTTCACTGCTCCACTAGTTGCGGTTTGCATACTTTCCCTGATGAAACCTGTGAACTTATATGAAGCTGGAGTAAGCTCATGAGTCACACGGCGAAACCTGTCGAGAAAAGGCTCCCTAGACGGGTGGGCACGTCGACGAAGTAGCAAAAGTGCAAAAGTCCCCCCGTAGCCGAACCGCACCCTATTTACTTTTGAGCAAGTATTGTTGAGATTGCTTTTAGTACCGTAGCAGAGGTGGTTAGCAGCAATGGCTCGTTTCTCGCGCGGAGTACGAGCATCGAGTCCGGATCGGCTAAAACTCCGGACCAACCCACCAGACACTGTGGCCCCGAACCCAGTAAATGTGGTACAAATCTTGTCAGGGAAGAACAAAAAATGCGGACTACACATTAAAATCTGTAGACCATCAAGGATGATGGACAACGTCCTCGCCGCTGATCAACTTATTCTGGGATGTGGCATGCATTCTACTTCCATACAAGAATCGTAGTGGCAGTTGAGTGCAATTTTTCTATTCCTACACAATAAGTTGCGGGGCCAGCGAGGCAAAAGTCAATGTTATCTTTCCAGATGTATACTGGCTACCAGTATCCATGCGCCGAAGGAAGGTCTGGGCAGCTCAGTGGGAGCCGAATCGGTATCATCCCGGCACCGTCATATACCACTGCGATTCCGAATGGAAATAGAATGCACGTTGCACTCTAAAAGGAGATTGATCAGCTGCGAAAGCATCGTCACTGACCCATTTTTATCGTCATAACAGTCAAGTCAGCTCTTTTTGTTCGAGGGACAAATCAGGGCAAATATAACCACCCGCCCCCCCCCCCCAGCGATCAAATACGACCCCTTCCCTCGCGGGAGACTCCAGAGGTACGACGATGCCCTGCAATTCACAGTTTAGCTTAGCCGTTACAATGTAACTCACGTTGATATTACATAACGCTTCGAGAAATGGTAGAAGACCGACAGCTGATAGACAACGTGCAGAACGTATTGATTGTATGGGGAGATGAAAGCTCTGATTACAGTAGGCCAAGAGCCGCCCAAGACCGTCAAGGGGAAGAAAAACACAATGAGAGGAATGTCGCATCAGCCGAAGACATCGAACATATTCTTTTCCGGAACAAATCTTTGATTCCAACGTCGCGTGAAAAAACTCTCGGCATTGGTCAGTCCCCAACGCGCTCCCCATCCCGATTCTATTCAAATCGTAACTTTAACTTTAATGTACAAGGACAAAACCCATCTGAAAGCACAGTACACGTTGATCATGTGGGCGGAGACGGTCAACCATTGTGCCCTCCTCACTGATGCGTCCCCTCTCTCTTTCCAAGACGCAAAAGAATATGGGCGCGCAGTAGCAAACATAGCCTGGTCTTTTGTTTCAAGCGACGAGCGGCTTCAGACTGGCAACTGAGACTCCTAGCTTGCTAACTCGGGGATTTGTTCATGGACGGAACATATGCAAAGTAGGCGAAATCCCCCACAATGGCCGGAGCTATTAGAGAGCGGAAAAGTTAGAAAATGAACAAACCTTGCGGAGTAGCAAAAATTCCCTTGGAGTGGGAGCGGCTAACGAAGGGAGGGGGAGGGGAGTTTAATGTGTGTGGGCAAATTCGATATGTTGCGACTGGATGCGAGAACAACGACGTTGAAAGAAATTAAAAAAAACACGAAATCTGCAGAACTTCCTCAAAATGGAGCCGGGGTCGTAACCGTGTCAGTATTTCAATCTTTTTTTTTCAGTCAGTTTGTAATAGTGTAGCAAAAAAGAAAAAAAATTCATGACCGCGCTAAAAAGTGGGCGTGGCCGGAGTTTAGTGTGGCCTTTCAGGATACTTGTAAACCGCGAAAATTCCCTCCTTCGGTTTCTCTACTTCCTTCCGTTTTTCCTTCCTTCCTTCTCTCTTCGCTCTTCCTCTGCCTTTTCCCTTCAGCGCTGGGCTAGGAGATGCTATGAGAAGAGTATCTCTGAGCCCTTGCAGCGAAAGCATGTCCGGTTTACGAGAGCCCCGTAACCGCAGAGGGGGCGGGGTCTACAGTGTCTCGGGTGATTTGGGCTAACCATTGCTCGGAAAAGTATTACATTTGACTAGAAAAGCGTCTGATTTGGTTTGTAAAGTGTCCAATTAAAATTAAAAAAGGTATATAAAGACAGGGAACGAAAGAATGACGAAAATTGTTTTCTATGGGAATTTACTGCCCGAAGTCACTCGAAGGCTTTTTCAAAATTACACTGCAGTCATTTTACAATATTTCTTAATTGCTCATAAATCCTCTGGAACGATCCTTCTTATTCCAGTGAGGGAGGCTAAATGGCTCTCTTAACTGATGGTGCATTCTTATGCGGATATTCTGGAAATGCTGGTAGCCGCAGAAAACAATTAGACTCAAGCTTATTGTATTCTATCCTATTTCCTGCTCGTCTGCGCCCTCTCGACGAGTATTCAAGATATTGACGCCGTGAAGAACGAAAAAGGGGAGTGGCTTAGACTTGCCCATCTTGAACAGCCTAGGCAATAAAATAACCTGGACTGGAATTTTTTAATAAGGGAATTCCAATTTTTAGCAGCGGTATCCATGTTAATTGAGGAAAACAAAACGATATTATACCTGATTAGCCTGATCGACCTCAACCTTTGCGGCATCGTACTGGGTCTGCAGCTGGGCTAATCGTAGTTCTAATGCCTCTTTTTCTTGAAGAATACTGAGGCCAACCTCGGCTGCCTGGAAACGCTCATAATAACGAAAGGTAGCCGCTGAAATTATCGAGGCGTGACAGCCACTCACCTTGTCT